CCTAATACAAGAGAAAAGACCCATATATATAGGTCTCAAGTAACATGAAGAAATAAAGACTAAATTGCCCTCAGGGCCCCAACATGACTCAACTCAACATAAGGGTACAAAAAGGAATACATAAAATAAAATGCATAATAACTAAAAATATAAGCTCTAAATTGTGGCCGTCGATCTGCGATGCTTCCGGCAATACACCTGTTTGAACCTTGGATCGATGTCCTCATCAGACTGAGCATCTAGATCCCTACGTGTACCTGGCTAAGCAAGGGAGCAAGGAGGATCGAGTGGCTCACTACGTGAATCCAAGTGAACCGAGTAGTTCGTGTGGCCTGGGAGTCAATTGAGCAGAATGATTAAGGGACCTACTCCTGCGGCTTCTGGATGTGAGTCGAGCTGAACCAAGTAGCCTTTACTCTCGTGTGCATGACAGAGACGATCATGCATCTACTCCATTGTTATCATATCTATAACCAACACAACATTCATTATTGCACTACACCTTGCTGTCTTGATTGATATAGCCTTCATCGGTACCTTTTGACCAAATGGATGACTCTATAGTGAAACAAGGAAGATGAGACCTCCAAAATATGCAAAATTCCTATCGATTAAAGGGGGAAGATTGCTTGAAGTGGTCTTAATTTGTTAAGATCTACTTGAAAGGTAAAGAAAAGATGAATCACCTTCGTGGAGTAGGACCACAAAAAAAAATCCTAATTTTTGGGCATGGGATGAAGCGGACTCCATGATTATGTCATGGTGTTGGAATTTTATTACTCTATAAATTAGTAATACTTTCATGTTCCTATCTACTGCAAATGACATATGGGATGCCGCCAAACAAATCTTCTTAAAGCTTGAGATGTTGCGCAAGTCTTTGAAATTAAGGTCAAGGTGGGATGCACAAAATATGGAAGCAAGACCATGACTGAATATGCCACTCTCCTTCAAAGCTTGTAGCAGTAACTTGATCACTACAGATGTATGGAGACATTGTGTCCAGAACATGCTACTATTCTGAAAATATTTATTGAGAAAGATAGAATGTACGACTTTCTTGCAGGATTAAATATAGAATTTGACCATGTTAGAGTTCAGATCCTTGGCAAAGTGGAGACACCATCACTAAATGAGACCACTCTCATTCGTGATGAGGAAAGCTGATGAGGGGGTAATGTTGTAACCAAAGGCTGTTGAAGGTTC